AGGCTGGGGGTGCTCGCCGGGGGCCAGGCCTCGCCGCAGGGCCAGGCTGGAGCCGGGCCGAGCCCGGAGCCACGCCGCGGGGGCCAGACCGGGCCGGAGCCGAGCCGGGTCAGAGCCGCTGAGGCCGGGGGTGCTCGGCTGGGGCCAGGCTGGCGCACTCGGCCAGAACTGGGGCCAGAGTGAGCTGCTTGGCCGGCGCTGGACTGGGCCACGCTGCGCCTCCCCCGAGCCCTTCTCGCGCCCCCCGCCACCCTAGCTTACCTGGTGCTGCCAGCCTGCCTGCCCGCCCCTGCTTCTTTTCAGACTTCCCGCGAACCTCTGATTCATGGGAAGCAGGGGAGGGGGAGGAGCAGGGGAGGGGAGGAGGGAGAAGTGAGCTGGGGGCGGGGTGGAGAGCTGCGGCGCGGGGCCCGATTCAGCCGAATCAGCTGAATCGGCCTAAAGCCGGCCCTGACTACAGACCTATATTGGGATAGCTATGTCACTCAGGGGTGTGAAAAATCCACACCTCTGAGTAACCAATTTAACCCTTTTCTTCTCTGTGTGGACTGCTCTTTGCCCCGGTGTACAGAATCTTCATTAAAACAATACAGATGCAACGTTTTAAGTGTAAACATGCCCTGTATAAGGCCTGGTAGACTTACTACTTAGCAGCTTTTGTTTAAAAATTATGCATGAGTACTCCAAATACTATTTACAATGTTTTTGTGTGTGCTAAGATTTGTTACTAAGGAATTGTACACCACTCACTCTTTGCTGATTGCAAATTGTAACAGCTGAATTCCATTAACGCTTTCTGAACAGGCATAACTCTGACTTGTGCTGCAGTACAGAGTGAAGCTGAAGTACAGGAAAAGTAGGAATGTAAGAGACGTTGCCTCAGCACCCTCTCCCTGCTACTGCAATTGGAGTATGTCTACATGGACAATAATAAAATGCCTGTTTGTCCATGTTAGCTGACTCAGGCTGTAAATTGCAGTGTAGCTGTTCACACTGGGACTGGAGCCCAGGTTCTGGGACCTTACACTTCAGTCTAATCACTGGCAGAAAGGAGGAGGAGGAGGATGCAAATTCATTGCTGGCTAAATCGGTTTGGTTTGGAAATGTAACTCCCGTGGTACAAATATAAATAAACCCCCGTGTGGGTGCTGCTTTAGGAGGAGGTGAGCTAACAGGTCCGTGCACGGTGCACCAGCGTGTCTGCACATGTGGCCAAGCATAGGTGTCTGTTTCCCGCTTCCTCAAGCCGAGAGCAGCCGCCTGGACCAGCTGGGAGGGGCCGGTCCCCGGGACGCTCCACACTGGGCTGCAGATCGCCCCCCGGGGACTGTCCCTTTAAGAGCGGGGCGGGCTCAGGCTCGGGCTCGCGGCGCTGCCGGGTGCAGTCCCGGCCCCTTCCCGCGCTGGGGGTCCTGGCCGGGGCGAACCCTGTCCCGGCCCCGTCTTCTCTAGCTGGGTAAGAGCTGCGCGGGGCCCCGCTCTCTGCCCGCGGCCACGTGGGGCTGTGGGGGGGCTATGGGGGCAGGAGAAGCTGCTCCGCGCCGCCTCCCAACTTCCACCAAGTGCGCGGGGGAAGCGGGGCTCGGCAGCCCCGGAGCAGGAGCCCGCTCCCCTGCCCCAGGCAGCGTCGGGAGGCGGGGTGAAGTGGGGCAGCGTTAACGCCCCCCCCGGGCTCTGGCTTTGCCCCCGATCCCCGCAGCCGGACCAGGATACAGGTGTTGTGCTGATACACCGGCGGCGGGGGATACAAGGGCCCTGTTCTCGGCCGCTTCCTGTGTCCGCGGAGCAGATGGGGCCACATCCCGTCCCGCCCTGCTGGGGCTCATGGCTGAGCTAGTTTAGTTCCCTCCATCCGAAATTTGCCTTGCCTTTCCCAGCTGCCTGCGTCCCCTCAGCCTTAGGTGAAGCCGCGCTGGGTGCTCCTCCCCCAAGAGCCCATCGCGGCAGCTTCTGGGCTTGCCAGAGTGTTACCAACCAGCTCTATGGGGCTAAACTCCCCATGGCTATGGGCCTTGCCTAGGGCAGTGATTCTCAAACGTTTGTACTGGTGACCCCCTTCACATAGCAAGCCTCTGCATGTGACCCCCCCCCCCTATAAATTAAAAACACTTTTCAATATATTTAACACCATTACAAATGCTGGAGGCAAAGCGAGGTTTGGTGTGGTGGCTGACAGCTCGTGACACCCCCCCCCCCATGTAATAGTCTTATGACCCCCTGAGGGGTCCTGACCCCCCGTTTGAGAACCCTTGGCCTAGGGAGTGTCACATTCTGTTCCTGGCTCTGCCATCCACCTGCTGGATGATCTTGGGTAAGTTGCTTCCCTCGCTGTGCCTCACTTTCTCCTTCTGTAAAATGGGGTTAATGGTACTGACTTCCTTTGAAATTTAGGGCTTAATGTTAACACCTGTGTAACTGCTAGCAAAGTAGAATGACTAATTGCATTTTGCATTCAAATTACATGGGTATATCAGTGGTTTTCAACCTGTGGTCCATGCAACTCTGGCTGGGCTTGCAAACTAGGTCTAACATTTCAAGCACAGTCTGCACCTCCTTTTGTAGGGGTTTGCAATTGAAAAAAGGTTGAAAACCAGTGGTATAGATGACCGCACAAGGTGAAGGGGGCAAGGGAGAATTTATCCCACATTGGTCTTTCCCTCTTCTCCCACCCCCATAATGTGGAAGGCTGTGTGTGCTTCCCCCATGGCACTCCTGGTCCCAGCTAGTGCACAAATGTGGTGATTCCCTCCCCATTACATCACTACATAGTTGCATCACAAGTTGTGTTTCCTAGTCCTTGTGTTGATGTGAACCAACCCACCTCTGCCTTTCTCTTCTCTGCAATTTCATCCTATTGCTCCTAATTACACAGTCAGTATGGCCTATTGGATCATGTACTGGCCTAGGACTTAGGCACAGAACTCAGGTCTCCTGGCTTTGCCCTTGTCCTGCTGGATGACCTTGGGCAAGTTGCTTTGCCTCTCTGTGCCTTTGTTTCCCCATCTATAAAATGGGAATAATGATACTGATCTCCTTTGTAAGGCACTTTGAGACCTACTGATGAAAGGTCCTATAGAAGAACTAGGTATTATTATCTTAAGCAAGCCTTCTCCTTTGATTACACCCTTTACATTTCTGGAGATGACTCTGTTTTCTGGTTAGATCGAGGGGATGCACCAAGGTGGCTGTTCTACCTCATTGTTATATCTGGCATATAGCTGATCTGCCACTGCTAGCAGCAAATATCTCCAATGGCCAGTGATGAGACACTACATGGGGAGGGCTCTAAGTTACTACAGAGAATTCTTTCTCAAGGTCTGGCTGGTAGGTCTTGCCCACATGCTCAGAGTCTAACTGATCACCATATTTGGGGTCAGGAAGGAATTTTCCCCTGGGTCAGATTGGCAGAGATTCTGCAGGGGTTTCACTTTCCTCTGCAGTAGGGTGACCAGATGTCCCGATTTTATAGGGACAGTCCCGTTATTTGGGGCTTTGTCTTATATAGGCTTCTATTACCCTCTACCTCCTGTCCTGATTTTTCACACTTGCTGTCTGGTCACCCTACTCTGCAGCATGGGGTACAGTCATTTGCTGAAACAACAAGGAGTCTGGTGGCACCTTAAAGACTAACAGATTTTAAGGTGCCACCAGACTCCTTGTTTTTGTAGATCCAGACTAACACGGCTACCCCCTGATACTTGACAGTCATTTGCTGGTTTAAATTAGTGTAAATGGTGGATTCTCTGTAACTTAAAGTCTTTTAAATCATGATTTGAGGACTTCAGTAACTCAGTCAGAGTTCAGGGGCCTATTACAGGAGTGGGCGGGTGAGGTTCTGTGGCCTGCGATGTACAGGAGGTCAGACTAGATGATCATGATGGTCCCTTCTGGCCTTAAAGTCTATACCAACTGTCCCTAAAATCTGTAGTGACATGCTGTGTGTACAATCCCCATGTATCTTGTTGCGGCTGGAAGATGCTGTGTTTATAAGCTTCTTCTAGCCAGGCTCTGCAGAGGCAATAGGGCTTCACTGTGTGCTCATGTCCCCTTTCAGAGCCTCCTTTCTCGTCATCACGGCTGCCTTGTGATGCTGCTAGTGCCTGCCTGCCTGGCAAGTCAAAACATGCTCCGGCCCCAGTGGACTAACAGCAGAAGATGGCAGAGCTGCCGGAGGTTGGGGAGGCTTTGGGGGAGGGCAGTTTGGTGACTACCACATTTGAGGGCTGCCGCCTTGCAGGCAACAGGCTGAACCTAGATGTGTACCCTGATGGCTGTCGCCAGTTCCTCGAGCTGTTTGAGAAACGAAGGGAAGAGGTGGACCAGGAGGAATTCCTGCGGCCGTACTGCACTGGGGCCCCCGTTGACTGCACGCTGGGCCGCCTTCCTCTCC